GGGGGGGGGGCGGGGGGTCGAGGAAACATTTTTTTCAAAAATGACGTTTTAGCCTTTAAAAGTATAAACTCTAATATTTCAAAAATTTGTTCTGGCCCTTTTTTGGGAAACTTTAACATCAAAACTTTTTAAATGTTACGGAAAAGTAATTTTAAAACTATTGGCTAGTGAGAGCCACGAAAAAAAATATGAAAATTATACGAAATATAACATTTTAAATTATCCAGCAATAAGGAAAATACATATATATGTAAAAATATTTAAGCTTTGAATTCTAGCAGAGTCTTACACAGGTCGAGTGACGCCAGCAAAGGAATTGAGTTTTTGCCACAAATCCCAATTTTCTATTACCTTTGATATTTCAAGCTTAGATTAATTGATCCATCAGAATTTGTTGTTTGAAATATTATCGAAGGTCTACGACATTGGGTTGTAAAGATTTAGGGATTAAAAAATCAGGAGTTTTTGACATAGACTCAATTCATCTTTTGTATTCACTTTTTTGGAACTCATTGTAAATTCAATTTGTGCATAAAAGTATAAAATCGCAACTGCTATTGTAAGTCGAAATTAGATTCTGATGCAACAGAATGCACCCAGATAATATATAGATCCAGGGTTGTAAAATACACAGATCAGGTAGATATATATATATATCCAGGGTTGTAAAATACACAGATCAGGTAGATATATATATATCCAGGGTTGTAAAATATACAGATAGGTAAATATATAGATCCAGGGTTGTGAAATACGCAGATCAGGTAGATATATAGATCCAGGGTTGTAAAATACATCAACACTGCTATAATCGGCAGCTCTCTACTTTTAATGGCTCACAGCTGGCTAATCCAAATCCAAAAACTCTATCATTACTTTTCATGTCCAGACCCTTTCCTGTTACTTTCCTAAAATAATCAACCTTGGTTTAATGAATTCAAACTTTGATTGGAATGAAAGATAGAAATAATTAAAATTCAAAAACATTAGAAAAACAGAAGACACAAATTTCTAAATGAATCAGTGCTTGTCCATTAAAGCCGAAAAAACGATTGATCCTGCGATTGATACAGGGTGTCACACGAAACATGACAGCTTTTGAATAGTTTTTAATGTCTTCTTCTATGATACTGTATTAGTTACTTAAGACTTTTTTGCATGTTTATTCCGTTAAAAAAATCTTTTACTCAAAATATATATTTGTTTGATATCAATTTTACTATAATATTACTGTCATTTAGTATTTCTTATCATCATCTTTGGTATCAAACAACTTAACAAATCATGGAAGAAGACATTCTAAACTATTCACCAGCTGTCATGTTTTAGGGTTGGTAATCGTTTTTGAAAACGATCGTTAAACGATCGTTTTTTGCTTCGTTAAACGATCATTTTTAAAAACGATCGTTTCGTTTTCTCAAAAAAACGATCGTTTTTAAAACAACCCACTCGTTTTGAACTGTTAGAAAACGAAGAACAATCGTTTTTGAAAACGATCATTTTCAGAAAAACGATAAGCGACCGTTTTTTATACGATTGTTTTTAAATAAACGATCGTTAAAAAATAACGATCGTTTTTGAAAAAAAANAGATATTTTCCAAAGGGCGACTTCCCAAGTGACATTTTTCGAAGTGGCAACTTCCCAAATGTTCAATTTTCCAAAGGTTAGGTTTGCCTTCTAAGGCGCATCCGGGCTAAAATGTAAGCCCAGTGCTGTGACTATGGTAGGCTAGGGTGCCAAGCGCTGCGGCGAGAGCATACATGGGAAGTCGCCTCTTGGGAAATTGTACTTTAGGTAAGTTGCCTCTTGGGAAATTGTACTTTAGGGAAGTTGCCTCTTGGAAAAACGCCTTTGGAAAAGTACCTAACATCGTTCTGGAGAAGGGGAGGGCCCTTCTCCTCTCCCTGGGATTCTTGGGCAAAGGTTAAGATCAGATTGGGTAGATAACAACGTCGAGTTTGTTTGCCCAGATCTGAAATGGAATGTTCTACTGAAAAGAAGTGTAGATTTTTTTCGTTATTTAAAAAGTGTAATACGCGCCTGGTCCTAGGTTATTATTTACGTATTACTAAAATACAAAAAATCTCTAAAATAATTTATAATTATCTTCAAATTTTGCCGGGGGAGGGGGCTCAAACGTTTCAAGCTCTGTCATGATTGAATTATTTCAGGTACATCTTTTATTTTTGTATCTTTATTATTATCTTTATTTTTATATCATTAATTATCATGAGCTCAGGAATGGCTTAATCAAATACGGAGATAGACTTTAAAAAAGCAGCAAAATAGTGGTTTACTGTAAATTAAGCTGTAACATTTTTTCTGGATTTCTTTGTAACCTGTTTTGTTAAAAAATAAATAAAAATTATGCAAAAAAGCTTATCTCATACGTTGTGAGAAACCCTGTGTGAAAATATAATATTTTGTCTCAACAATATTAGCATGCAAAACAGATTTTCTTTGACAGCTTCTTGCTGGAAATATAGATTGGATGCATAGCATTGACAAGTTTAAATAAAATATAGTTTTGGATCTCATATAGAGCTGTCTGAATGTTTCAATATAACTTTTCCTCAACGAATTGAGAGCAAATTCAAACTCATTCCTTAATCCTAGGAGATCAGGAGTCTTTGTATTGCCTGATATAACCCTCCCATAGAAAGAGGCCTTCTTAGAGTTAAGGAATAGGTTTGCAACGCAGTTCATAGCCAAATTTTTTAAGACCAGCTCAAAAAAAATTTATCCCACTAACTGTAATAGTTTGGATGCTATAGAGAGGATTGAAAAAATGTCAAAAAGGTTGGAATACTTTAAAAATTACATTTTTCAAAATATTAAGATGTGACTCATGATGATACTTCCATTTTTAAAGGGTTTATCATAAAAGTTTTTAGATATGTAGCTTAAATGACAAAAAGGTTTTGGGCTATTTATATTTTTTTCAACACGGGCCGGCCTTTTTAAGCGACTTCTACCCACCCTATACACTATGCAGTATAAAAAATTCTTGAGCAAAAAATCCTTAAATAACTATTCCTTAAATGTAAAAAAATCAAGATGGTAGTGTCAATAATGAGAGTGCTAGGGCAAAAACTAGAGGGGCGACCCCCCCCCCCCCCCAGCCTGTTTAGGGGTTAAAAGGAACCCACCGAATTTTAACATTTTTTTAATTCTGTTATAAGCAATTTGCTCAGTTATGGCTCCTTGCATATTTTTTACTTCAAAAGATGTATACAGGGTGTCCCAATAAACATGGGAATTCAGTGACGAATTCGATATCGTCTTTTCAAATAATTCTTTGACTTAGTATAGTGATACTTACTGAGAAAGCAATAATATGTAAGAGTTTCGTCTGCTATGATCACATTTTGTTTGTTTATGTTTTGACTGCATACAGTTGTACTTAGTAAAACAAGAAAATTTCAGTATACAAACAGAGTAAACTTGTCCGTCTTCACTGTTCCTCTTGCGGTGACATTATAGACACTTCTTTGCAGTCTTTTACCCTTTTCATAAAATAAACTCTAGCAGACATAATAATATTATGGCTTTTGAAATTGGGTATTACAATTCTAATTCATAACAAAGACGATATCCAATTTGTCACTGAATTCCCATGTTTTTTTGGACACCCTGTACATTATCCACGCACCTCTGCTCCTTTAGTAAAAGTAAACTCAACCTATATGAAGAGTCTGACCGCGTCAACCTTTTTGCACCAGCTAGTCCTGTCCATAGAGCTAGGTACAGTACAAATTGGGACCGGAAAGGTTGACCCGGCTCGGAAATGCAAATGTACTACGGCTGCCCTTGATTAAAGATACTAAAGAAGTTATTTCAAGGGACTCTTTAATTTAAGGTTTGCATGTTGGATTCACAACAGTTCTCGGCACTCTAATAATATCTATCTTAGAATTGTTTCTGCAGAAAAAATACAAAGTAACTTTGTAGGGAATTCGTAATTATAAAAAAAAATCTATTTCAGCCGGGAAATAAGGATATCTGATTGCTTCATGATATTGGACAAAAGTTTAAAGGGTGCCGTTGTGAATTGGAAATGCCACTTAATAAATAAAGGATTACTTGTAACTAACTGTACTCTATAGTTTCAAGACTGGAGTAGATCAAGGTTTAATGTTCTCCTATCCTAGGGTGTAGTTGGATATAGTTTCAAGACTGGAGTAGAGTAAGGTTTAATGTTCTCCTATCCTAGGGTGTAGTTGGATATAGTTTCAAGACTGGAGTAGAGTAAGGTTTAATGTTCTCCTATCCTAGGGTGTAGTTGGATATAGTTTCAAGACTGGAGTAGAGTAAGGTTTAATGTTCTCCTATCCTAGAATGTAGTTTGATAAAGTTTCAAGACTGGAGTAGAGCAAGGTTTAATGTTCTCCTATCCTAGGGTGTAGTTAGATACAGTTTCAAGACTGGAGTAGAGCAAGGTTTAATGTTCTCCTATGCTAGGTTGTAGTTGGATATAGTTTCAAGACTGAAGTCCAGGAATCAATGGTTGATGTTCTCCTGGTGTTCTATGCTCCCTGGTGTTACCATTGTACAGCTCTCATGCCAGTGCTAACAAAGCTAGCCAAGGAATAATATTCATCCTATATGTTCTTTATCTAATACCTTGACCTTCCTTATTATTTTTAAACGGATTGCAGTATTCGAATTTCAACTTTATCTCCATTCACAGAGTGGATGGTATGTTCGATACACAAGGGTACCTTTGAAAGTTTAAGATTAAAAATGAATAAAATGCCCATTGTCCATGTTTAACTCACAACAGCCACTTGCACATCTATGTTTTAGATTAAGTAAAAGTAAATTTTCAGAATTAAAATTTAGTTTTCATGTCTTTAACATTTAGTAGTGAGCCAGCAGACCTGCACCTCTTTATATGAAAGATCAACTTGAAATTACAAGTACAGTCCCTTTAATCTCTTCAGAGCTGGGAACTTGAGAATGGTGGATATCAGGATTAATGCTTAATCCTCTCTTTTTGCCAATCTAGAGACTAGCATAATCTCGAGATTATGTTACTCTTGACATTAAATATTTAGATCAACAAATTGGATTCTAGCCTTCTAGGAACGCCAATCTCACCCAATTTTTTTTAATACATTAATTAAAATTGGTTACAAAAGAATCTCAAACGTTTTATTCAATATTTTTCTTCACCGATTAATTTAAAAAATGGTCGACAAAAAATTCCTGATTTGTTAAAAATTGCGGATTTCTCTCATGGGATAGAATTTATTTTCAAGGCTGTCATTGGTCAATACAATTTACGAAATATATTCCTGCACTCTCATTGGAGAAATAATGTAAGGATATCCAATGAGAGAGAAAAAGAGCGGATTAAGGACTAACATTAAAAGTTTACACAGTGGATATTTTAAAGTTCCCAGCTCAGCAAACACAATCTCACTTTTTTTTTTGTAGACAGGTCCGACATGTCAACAGCCAAAAGGAAACTATTGAAGTTCCGGATGTTTCAATATACGAATAAATCCCATGAAATCTGAAATTTCTGAACTTTTTAGAGAAGTCAAAGTTAAATTTTTGGGCTTTACTTCAAGAGCAAATGGAAACTTTTGATTTAAGAGTTAAATATGGTAAACATGGCTTTATTTGATCTCTCATTGGTCAAATCTTAAAAGGTTTTACCAATAAAAAATATAAGTTTATATGAAAAAACAGAACGAAAAGTATTGGTTAGGTCGGGTTACATTATTTGTTTTAAAGTTTATTTATGAAGATTTATCCAATGTTTAAAAAAGTTTCCTTTCTCTTGGATTCAAAATAACTTTATCTTGTTGTTTAGTGAAGATAACGAAGCTATAGAAGAAGGAAAAAAACAACTTGTTTCCAAAACATTTTCCCACGAGTAACGTGTGCTGTGCATATTTCTGAGGGGGGTTAGCCGCCCCTCCGCCTAAAAGTCGTTGTAGGGGTTTGAGATTCCAATTTTTTTAGCTCTCCATTTTAGGGGTTAAAAGTTAGCAAAGCCCCCCCCCTCCCTTTCAAACTTTAATGTTATTTATTCCTTTATTTTTATTCGTACTTTTACTTTCGTACTTTCACACACTTAAATGGACTACAGTGTTTTATTCGATTTCCCATCCCCCCAAGGCAAAATCCAACCGGCCGGCCCCCGATTACAATTTAAAAATGTTTGCTATCTAAGGATGTTTAAAGGAAAAATTGATGAATATTATTTTTAGACCTTGGAAGAGGAGGATATTTCAATAGGAATAACATTTTATAATTTAGATAATTTGGAGGGGCGGGGGGGGAGGAATCTACTTAGGATTAAGATAAATTTGGAATTTGTGTTATATTTGATTATTAATAAGTACAAATTTAGGTAAAAACTTTAGAATTGGACGTGACATCTTAAATACCAATTGCTTGATCTAAATATTCACTGTGGACACTTTAGATTTCTGCTTAATTGGCTCTTTTCCCCTCTATTTGGATATCCTACTGGATTCCGACCAATAAAAGTTACATCATTTAACGGCGTACACAATTCCAACCGGCCCGGCTTCTGATTGGTTCTTTGGGATTCTACGTGAACCACTCCGATCAAATGAATTTTAGGAATTTTCTAGGATGCAGTTTAAAGATTAAAATAATTTTAAGAGGAAATCAAGCATTAATCTCCATTTCCACAATTCAAAAGTTTTCAGCTCAAGTTCTCTTCTCAGAAATTTTATTCTAAACGTGGTGACTGCTCTGAAAGAGTGTAATATTAAGAAAGTGTCTGTAACTATTAGAAATTTAGTTAAATATTAAGTTCTTAAAGGGATTGTAAGGGTAATTTCTAGTTAGCCTTCATGAAACTCTGGAGCGACGGTGCTCTTTAAAACTAAATGACAGATCATCAATCTTTGTGTGTTGCTTTGAGGGTAATATCAACATAAGTAACATAAGATTGTATAAGATAAAATGATTGAGATATCTTTGTTTTCCTCATTAGAGGTACTCAAGGTAACTCGAAATGGAAGGTCTAATGAAATTATGTCTGCACAATCTCCTTAATTTTCAGAAATGTTTTCCTCTGAATTTAATCTAAACTGGCTGTTGTCTAAACTGAGCTAGGTACTTTGAACATTGGATACTCATACCCCTGATCGCTTGATTTTGATATCTACTATGGGCACTTTTAAGGATAAATTATTAATCTCTTCATTTCAGTTATTCCTATAGTGTGAAATCGGAATCAAGGATTGATCTCGATATCCGCAATTACAAGAGTTTTCAGTTTTGTTTATAAAAAATAAATTTTTAAATAAAATAATAAATCAAATTGTTTATTCAGTAAAATATGATGCAACTGTAAATGATGTTCCAAAACTTTTTCCATTAGATGGATTTCCAACTATTTATCTAATAAGGTAGATTTCCAACTATTTTTCTAATAAGGTAGATTTCCAACTATTTATCTAATAAGGTAGATTTCCAACTATTTATCTAATGAGGTAGATTTCCAACTATTTATCTAATAAGGTAGATTTCCAACTATTTATCCAATAAGGTAGATTTCCAACTATTTATCTAATAAGGTAGATTTCCAACTATTTATCTAATAAGGTAGATTTCCAAGTATTTATCTAATAAGGTAGATTTCTAAGTATTTATCTAATAAGGTAGATTTCCAACTATTTATCTAATAAGGTAGATTTATGTAAAATAGATGAAAAAAGCAGTTTTTGCATTGTTATTTGGCCTTGGCTTATTTAAACTTTAGTAATTTTAAGATTGATCTTCGAATATAAATACAGCATAAAATTTCCAAAAAGATATAGTTGGTTTGAAATTATTTTAACAAAATTATCGGGCTTTTTTCAGTATTCTACATTCTATCCGATATTAAATCTTCTGATCAGAATTGGATGGAAGATTTTGAAGTGGTTTTTGGATGTAATTTTTTAAGGCTGAATGCACAATTGCACATATCTCAATTCCAATATCTATGATGCCATAGAACATGCATTACTTTTACTCTAGGGTCTTGTTTTGAGGTCTTAACTTTTAAGATTGGAATGTTTAACACAATTTTAAATCATCCCAAAACTATAATGAGATAAAAAGCTATTGCATTTCAAACTTGAAAATCTATTTCAAGATCTGCAGAGCGTCCCATATCATATCAGATTATCTCCAAGCTTTAACGCAAAAATACGCACATAATACTCGAAAAACTTTTCTGCAAGAAAAACCTTTTACATTTTTTAATAATGATTTATTGTTTTTAAATTTTCTGATTAGTCCCTAAAGTCACAATTTTGAGCAATAAACGTTCTATTATGATGTTGGACACCCTGGAACTCAATATTTGTTTAGAAAGGACGAGAAAATGACCCCAGTTTTGTTTAATGAACGCCGGAACTATGATAACCTTCTCAAATTTATTACTGAGAATTCAACTCTAAATCTGAAAAGTAAAAACAGAAAGGTTAGAACACTTTTTTCTTTTTTAGGGACTGCGTCACTGCACACATAATTAACAGTGACCATTTTCTGTGAAGATGTCGGATTCACAACGGTACCTTTGAACTATCAGCTGATCATGCAGTTTTTATACGCAGAAACTATTGTCCTTGATAACTACGGTTCTGAATCTGACATTTTCCACGTTATAAATGACTGGTGACTGGAAATTACGTCCCCCCCTTCCCATCCCGGAAATGTGTGTTATACCCAACAGATTATTCCGACGTCACAAGCCTAATTAAGATTATTTCTTGGAATAAAGAATTATTTTTAATTGCCTTTAATGTGTAAGATGTGTATTGACTAAGTAGTTTGTAAGATTTATAAACGTACTATATAAATATACCTGCCTTGGAAACCTAAACTTTTCCTAAAAGTCAACTTAGGATTTTAAAACCATGCATGATACGAACATTCCTGTGGTTCTCCCGAGTTATTCCATCAACATTTGAGGCAAATCAGTCAAAGGGGTCAAAACAGAGTCTACTACTTTATATAAATACTAGCTTGGGAACCCAGCGTTGTCATATGTCCAGGGTACTTATACTCTCGCAGTTTCCTCGTAATTGGTCTTTAATTAGATTTTTAGCTATTTTTTCTTATAAAAGTCGATCAACTCAACTTAGAAACTCAAAACCAAGCTAAGAACGTTTCCGTGGTTCTCCCAAGTTACCCAATCAAAATTTAAGGCAAACCGGTCCAGGGGTTTAGGAGTTATGAGTTATGATCGGACATACAAAAAAAACAAAGATTATACTTTATATATATAGATATATCAGACCCAGCCGTGGAAATTCGTTCATCTTCTCCACATCAAACGAAAAAATTCTTATTTTTGAATTAACATTTTCACATTTATAATTAAAATCTTTATCTATTTAAAAGAATTCTACTTTTTTGAAATTCTACATAATAAAGCTCTTCGCTCATATATATTTATATGTTAGCTATAACTGGCCAGACGGCTAGACCGTTTTTTTTTAAACGCTCGTTTTTGAAAGTTCTAAACAAAAGGTTCGTTTTCAAAAACTGTTGTATTTTTCTGAAACGAAACGATCGATTTGAGAAAAAAAATAAAAACGAAACGTAAAACGATCATTTTTAGAAACGATTAACAGCCCTAGATTATATGACCTAAACCAATCAGTAAAAGTGTTATAAACCTGTTTTAAAATATCCCTGTTTTAGAACAAGGAACCAGAAAATAGAAAGGAAAAGGAAATACTCAGTGATAAGGATGAACTTTGAAAGAAGCAGTTGGTCGATGGAAATCTATCACCATTATAATAAGCAATATTTTGCCTACCCCTGTATTTTCTTTTTAAATCAGCAATACTTTGGAGGAAATTTGATTTTAGGCCGCAAGAATACTGTGTGTGTGATATATAATTCAGGTTCTATTGTATCTGATTTATGAAATTTAGATTATGTTTTTTTTTCTACCAGTTATACGCTTCGTACATGTTTTTAGATTGAATTATTCCGTACTTTATATTCTTAATGTTACGTCACTACATCATTATAAAAGCAATCTTTTTTCCTGTAACATGCACTGTGTTTGTTAAGAAAAATAAATATTTTTCATGTAAGCAAGCGTATCTCTTTCATATCTGTGGCGAAAACACGTTTATAGTTAGTACAGGGTGTCCAACATCATATTAGATCGCTTATAGAGCTTTAAATTGCGATTTTGGGACAAAAAGAAAATTTTAACCATTTTAAAAAATTGTATAATGCTAATATATCAATTTGTATGCATATACTAGGTTTTTCGAGTATTATATGCGTATTTTGGTGTAAAAGCTTAGAGATAATCCAATATGACATGGAACACTCGTAGATACAGGGTGTCCCAGGAAACATGACAGTTGGTGAATAGTGTTAAATGTCTTCATCCATAATTTTTAAGTTCTTTAATACCAAGGAGAATAATAAAAAACATCGCTTGGTAGTATTATTATAATAAAGTTGTTTCAAAGCAAAATATAATAAAGCAAAAGATTCTTTATCAAAATAAACTGCAAATAGTCTTTAATATATGATACTTGATATGGAAGAAGACATTCAAAACTATTTACCAACTGTCATTTTTTGTGGGACACTCTGTATATACCGATTTTAACCATTTGGAAGGGACTGCGTATTTTAACGCGTGGCATGTCTGATTCACACCGATTTCCTTTTAACCTCTATTTTAGTAAAGAAACAGTCTTTATTTTCTCTGAAACTTGTTAATTTCTAAACATTTTCTTAATATTCTCTTTGCATAAGTCTGCAAGTCATATCTAGAACAAATAATTAATTAGTTAAATAAGAATATCTCATTTATCAATGTTTAACGAAAACTTTTAAGGGTATCGTTGTAAATCGTACATGCCCGCTTTAAACAGTCCCTTTAATATTGATGTTCTAAAGTATAAAGTTAAATGACAAATTGTTCACAATCCCCTTGAGGAGGAGAAATAAATTCAGGATGTTCAAAATAAAAAATAATAAGTTCTAAAGTTGGATTATACAAAGTTCTCAATGCATTTTAAACTATGTTTTGCAAATTTGTAGAGAAAATTATATTTATTTTATTCAATTAAAAAAATGATTTTTCTAAATTCATTTTTTTCAGTAATTTGTTCAAATTCGAACATATCAATTATTTAATAATTATACAGGGTGTCTCAATAAAAATTAAAACCAAGAAAAAAATAAAGAGATTGTTATTTATTTTATACATCGACGGTTTCCATTTTTCTTCTTTTGTAGAAATAGTTATGTTTCTTGGGTCATCACAGGAAATCAATTACAGAAGGGTTTAATTGGCTGTCTGTAGTTTTTAACAAAGCAGTCTGTTTTGATTTATGCCAATCATCATATCTATATTTTTAAACAATCAACTAAAACGAAAATTATTTAAATGATTATTTGGAAATAAACATTTTATTTGAAAACAAACATTGTCTTTCACATTTATTTTCAGAGAAGATTAAAAATAGTGGAAGAGGGTTATTTGGGCTCAGCCCCCCCCCCCCCACATCATGATCAGCTAAATTTATTATATCCAGGGGAGTTTCAGTTCCCAATGGGTGCTACTGCTGAGCACTTCCCTAGAAAGAAAGAATAACTAAGCCCCCCCCCTGGACGAACTCCTGTATATACGCCCCTAGATAGTTTGTATTGGAACAAGGTTTTAATGTAAACTACAGAAGAAAAGTTTTCAGGTAAAATACTCCCTGAAGGGAACACATTTCTGTGTCAACATGACGTGGTTACAGTGATTTTTTCCTATTTTAAGGAATATATACATGCTTTATTAACGACCTAAAACTCTCAACATTTAGTGATCTAAAGACAGAATTTTGATTCTGCTTTACACATAGTTTTAAAATGAATATGTATGATGACTTGATAAAATAAAAAACCAAAATAACAGTGTCGGGAAACCAAGAATATCTAGATACTGAATTAATTGAGTCATAAAGTCTCATTCTTTGTGGATAACCCTGAAGTTTTACCCCACTTTTAGGAATTAGAACTACAGCTAAGCCTGTATCTCTCAAAAATGTGCCTAATGCCAAAATGCTCAATGCTTAAAAAGACGTGTTTTCTTTTTTTACTTTGTGTATATTATTTACCAGTCGATATTCGTAAATATAACTTTAAATTTGTAAATGTAAATTTAAACTTGTAAATATTAAAATATTCCTGTAAATATTTGTATAATTTCCAAGAAATTTAAGATAAAACTTCACTGTCCATAAGTTACTTTTTATTGGACCAATACCTATGGGCAAACATGGCTTGGCTTGCTGGCTGTTTGGAAAAAATTGGTGTTCACACAGAGCAAATGTAGTAGTGTTAATTTCAAATTTTTTTTGAAAATATATTTCGGTCTGAGTTGGCCCTCTTCCACGATATAATATCCGTCAAAATCAAAAATAAAAAAATGTTTTTAAAAATCACAGGAAATTAAACATGAAACAAAAGGTTGTCAGATAAAAAAGGAAACGAACTCATCATGATATGTCACTCACTGCATACTTTGAAAAACAAACTAGTAAATCTGCTTTCCTTAGCTTAAGCAACACTATGTTGTGATTTTAAATTGTTTATTTTACTTTAGTTAGTACGACTGGTAACATATTCAGTACATGTTGTACCTACTCGAGTGGTGTGATTGTATATTCTGAAGTATCTAGAAACAGAAACAGGGTTCTATCTCTACATTTACTCCACCCTGCTCAATACATCCCTAAATAATCAAATTCAAAAATTTTGCAACAGAAACTAAACACTCACCACAAACAAGAACTTTCTTAATTTATGATGCAACCTGAATAAACATATGGATAAGGCAAAACAATTGTACGACTGTGTGGCCTCCTAGCTCAATTTATTTAAATTTTTAGAAACAAGTATTAGTTAAGCAAATTTTTTATTTTTTTTGAGATAAAGTGGCCTTGTGTTTAGTATCTTTTATTTATTTCAGCTCAATTCCTTGGTTTAAGAAATGCAAAATATCCTATTTAGAAATCTAAATCTTTGACAGAAATCAGATTATTTTTAGCTCCACATGCATATATTTACAATTTTAAAAAAGTTAATTCAAAAAAAGTTAAAATATAATTTGAAAAAAAAACTATGAAATTTTGCATATTTTTGCTATTGTCATTCAAATAAAAAAAATAAAAAACATAAATTTAAGGTAAAACCCCAGTTTGATAGAAATACAATTGATTTGATACCAATAATAAATATTATTTTTTAAATACTTTGAAAATACAGGGTGTCTCAAGAAACTTAGAATTTATTCGTCCTCCACCTACATTAACAGATGTATGATTCTTGAAACAATAACCACAACATTTTCCCAGCTCTGGCATTTCCAAAATGTGGTTTGTCTATTTTTAGAACTGATATCAGATTATCCTAATTTATTATTTTACAAAACTTAATCTTCGGTAAAACCATTCCATTCTGTCCAATCACTCCCTTTAAAGTTCTACATTCTTTATATCTCCGGTAATATTTAAAACACAAAAAGAGAGACCACATTTTGGAAATGCCAGTAGTAAGGTAATTTTGTGATAATTGTTTAAAATCATACATGTCCAAGTAGGTGGTAGGACGAATGCCAGTAGTAGGGTAATTTTGTGATAATTGTTTAAAATCATACATGTCAAAGTAGGTCGTAGGACGAATGCGGCAAATGATTTCATAAAATCAAAGACGATATTTAAGATATCTTCTGAACTGTCAAGTTTCATGGGTCACCCTGTATCATCCCTAGTTTGGTTTCTCTTTACAAATATTTATAGGATTATATTCAATACGTTCGGATTTATTTTGAACCAAATATCCCCCATTCTAAATATTTATATATATATATATATTTATATAACAAATAAAGAGTTCTGAAATAATATTATACATATTTACCTTCATAGATATTTCAGTTTTCTCTTGGGTTAAGCAAACTCTAGATCTAGCCTGAAGCATTAAACATTAATTATCAATTTAATAGTTAATTAATACTGTACCCACTCTTAACCATAGATAAAGATAGATTGCGCATAAGACGACATTTTTCATCTTGAAAGATATAAATGTATATTGTAGGCTGGGGCTGAAGTCCAAACATGGGAGAGGAGAGGGTGGGAAAGCTTCACTTCGTGAATGCCGCGGTCATTTAAAAGGTATGAGTAGGGGGGAGGAATTTTGTAGATATAAAATAAATTATTTCGGTGGGATGCCTGCGTAGAGACTGACAGCTGTTATGACAGCTTTTGATACGAGTGTGAGTTTTTATCATTTTTAGGGCTAAAATAGGTACG